CATTCTCACTTCTTCTTAGTCCCTGCAAATCAGAACATATATGAATACCACAACCGATATCAAGGACCCAAGAGTTAGAATGGGGTGAGTTATTAGATAAGATAGTGTAAATACCTGCATGGTTGGGTTTAACTTTCCCATCCTTCACATCATGTTGGTACTTTGGGCAGTTCCACTTCCAATGAGACTTTTCATGACAATAGAAGCATTCAGCCTCTTTTGGGTCAGAAGAAGGAGTGACGAAACCTTTCTTGGTTCCACTTGAAGAAGAGCCATCAAGGGTCCTAACCTTGGTACCCTTTGAAGAGCTCTTTCTCTTCTTCCCTCTACCTTTCCCAATTTCCAAGACAGGGGCATAGTTTGGACTAGGAGTGTTAACAACCGACTTACCTTTAAGACCTGTTTCTGCGGTCTTGAGGAGTCCCTGAAGTTTGCTGAGTGTGACCTCTTCCTTATTCATGTTATATGTCATGCGGAATTGATCATAGCACGATGGTAAGGAGTGCAAAATGATATATATTTCAAGCTCCTCATGTAAGTTCACATTTAGTTTCAGCAACCGATCCACGTACGTTTGCATTTTCTGCATGTGGCTCATGACGGATTCCCCATCCTTCATCATGGTTGTTATGATGCAGCAGATGATTTCATACCTCTCTTGTCGTGTACTTTGATGGTATCTTTCCATCAGATCTTAGTGCATTTCAAAAGGGTAGAAGTCCTCATAGGACTTTTGGAGTTCTGCTGTCATGGTGGCCAACATGATGCATGCTACTTTGGTAGCATCCCTTTCATGTACCCGGAGGTCAGCAATCTCCTGGCGAATTACAGTGGTCTCATCAATCTCCTTAAGCTCCTTATCGAGGACATATTCTTTGTCCTCGTACCGGGTAATCATCCTGATGTTTCTGATCCATTCATTGAAGTTGGATCCATCAAAAGTGACTTTCCCACACAAGTTTATAAGGGTAAAGGAGCCATTAGGTTTAGAGCCAGAAGCAACGTTGTTTGAAGACATCTGAAAGAAGAGAACAAGATTAGTTTAGATATTAAGGGAGTCCTTAATAAAACACCCAAATGTAATATTAAGGCTAGGATCCAATCACAATATATTATAACTTAGAAGATGTATACCGTAATCCAAGCTATAACATATTTCAAAGGTAGGTGAATGACGATTCATCAATTTCCACCATGAAAAACGAAATATAAACATTAGGTTTTTTTTAATTGGTTCTTAGAAATTCCTAGATTCTTTTGAAATTCAATGAACTTTTCAAAGGCATGTTTCAATCTCAAGTGTGCCCTCCAAGTTTTGTGACTGGGATATCGAGGATCACAAAATGAGGTGTGAAGTAACCATGCAAATCACTTGGTACCCTTAAAGTTTATCACACAATCGATGTGTCGGTAAACCATACACGCTCCACAACTACTATGATAAAACTTAAGTCACCCTTTACCTACCTTGTTAAGTCCAAATCTACGATGCATGGAAACGCCATAATAGTTACCGCTCCCGTATCAGAAACGCTGGGGAAACGGATACGCCGACGAAACGGCCGAGAAACGTTTCCGGCGAGTATCGGCAATTTCAGAAACGTTTCCTGTAAGTTTCCTTCACGTTTTTTTTGTATGGGCTTTTAATTGGCGCTAATAGAGTACTGGGCTGTCCTATAATTAATTGTTGTAGTCCTTTATCGTGGTATTACCCTACAATTAGTCAATTGCAACTAAACAATCCTAAACGGCTAATTGCTAAACAGAAAGCAGCCTAAGAGAAGCGATCGCTGCTGCCTTGCGCCTTTGCCTCTCTGTTTTGTCGATCAAGAAGACAAGAAGTATTTAGTACATTTGGACTTTAAACTTTACATATTTTGAAATTATATATATATATATATATATATATATATATATATATATATATATATATATATATATATATATATGTTTTTTCATATTTTTAGATTGCCGTATCCGTATCTTGAATTTTTGAGTTTTGCCATTTCCCGTTTCCGTTCCGTATCCATTGCCGTATCCGTTTCCGTGCAACTTAGGTCCAAATTAGTGTGCCAGTTAACCACACACACTCCACCAAAGACTTAAACAAAGTGTAAAGTATAATTTTATAGATTAGCACCTTATTCACATTTTTCCTAAAGTAACTAAGATTGGGAATTTAATAAAAGCATTTAGTTACTTTATAATATTCATCATACTTTTAATGAGAATTTATAAGTCCTTGTCCTACCCGTTCGACTAACGACCCTCCACCGATCAAGGAAGCGGTGGGTGAGAGTGGACACCAATTAAGTTGCCATTTTGTAGACAACAACCTTATACCCCCCCCCCCCCCTTATAGACTGGCTTCGTGAATAAGGCGTACTAGCGGTAAGACGGCTTGATCTTATACATACATACATACATACATACATACATACATACATACATATATATATATATATTATTAACTTATAATATTATAAAGTATAAGGGTTGATTTTTAACTTTTAAAAATTTAAGGGTTGGAACTAAAGTTTATTAAGTGACTTTACTTGTTCCAAAACTTGAGGGTAAGTTTTGTAACTTTACAAAACTTTTCACATTCATAACTTATGAGTCATTAAAATGAAAACTCTTCATTTTATAACTTATGTGTTCTTTTAATGGTTTTTAACACAAAGAGACTTTTGGTTATCCATAACTTGAGGACAAGTTATGGACTCCATTAAAACACATAAAGATCATGAATTAATCATATAAACAAGTAACTCCTATGATCTATCAAGAACTCATAAGAACATGAACATTCATATCAAAATTTCAAGAACATATTAACACATACAATCATGAAAAATTGATATTAGCCATTGTAAATGGATTAGAACAACCATTACACCATCTAAAACAAGTTTTATAACAACAAAACAGTTTGGGGTAATGTTTCTAGTCCATTTCCACCAGCACAAATCGAATTTCTGCATTCAGCAAGGCCAACTTGTTGGGTACACGAACATACTTGCCGAGTTGGTTGCATTTTTCACTTGGACTCGTCGAGTCCTCCCCATGGACTCGTCGAGTCCCCTGTGCAGACAACAAAAAATCGTTTTTTCAACACTATTTTGCATCAAGTATTCACAAACAAGCGTAGGCTTTGATACCACTGATGGGGTTTGAGCATTTCAACACTTCCTAAATGTACATGCAACCCTAATAACCTTGGATCTATGTTTGTCTAAATACATGCAAAATTTGGTTTCCAAGGTTCATAATCCTATCTAGCATACACGGGGAACTTTAATCCTAAAAGGATAGATAGAAATACATACCTTGTAGTTGATTTTGATTCCTTGAAACCTTGAGAGCCTAGCACCCCAGGTGTGATGCCTCAAATGCTTCAAACAACACCAAATGCTTTTGGAATGACTTTTGAGAGAATACAAACACTCTAAAAATCGGCCTAGCCCTCAGTTCTCTTTGTGTACCCGATTTTGGTGGAGAAAGTGTTACTTATATAGTGTTGACACATCTAGGGTTACACCATGTAAACCGTAATGTGTCATGACTCTTCATTTCCATGACCCATGGGTTTGTAACTCCCATGGAGCATCCAATGGGTTTAACCCAACTTGATAATCCATGGAGCCTTTTAGCACACTATACAAGTTATGGATGATTTACATAATCAACCCATATATTTAATTAGTTATCTTTTGATCACTTAATTAATTCCAAATTAAATCTTGATCAATACTAATTAAGTAATACTATTAATATATTAGAACTTATAATATATTAACAAACCAAAAGTGTTATTTCTATCATTTAGTCTATCCAAATGCATGGTGCCATGCAACCCAAATGGACCATGCCGGGTCGGGTCAAGTACATACCAGAAATAGTTATGGACTTAAACACCTTATCCAACATGTTCAGTTAAAGCCAAGCACCACCAGTTTCATCCATTGTCACCACCACAAATGTCTCTACACCACCACATCAAACTGAAGAAGGTCCAAGCACAATATATGAAGCAGGCGGATCATCTTCTATTACGGAATATTCCCCCTCAAGGCCTTTGCTAGATGATGCTTCAATCAGGCTAGGTAAGCACTTGGCTCAGAACAGTCCAGATTCTTCCTCCCGGGGAAAAGGCATATCTTTTAAGGAAGAACATTCAGGGAATGATAAGACCTTAGTGTCTAAGCTTTGAGAAGAAATTGAAATTCTGAGACAGGAAGTCATTGAAAAGAACATCTTGCATGAGCAACATGATTCCTATATCACCAAGCTTCGAGAAAGAGATGAACTAAAGTCAAATCAGATTTCTGATCTGCAAACTGATCTTGGTTCTTTAACTGAATTTTATTTTGGGTTAAAGAACACGTTGTTTGAAGTGTTTGGCGATAAATTTCAGTCTCTTTTTCAACAACCTCATGGAATTGAAGATCTTCCCATGGCTCCCACCTAGTCTTCATAAGGAGACCTTCCTGTTAATCAACCTCCTCCAATGACAGCTATCATTGTTGATCGTTTTGACAAAGAGGCTGATAATGCCAGATCTTAGATCACGATCAAGCATGGAAAAGGACCGTCACTGCCAATAAAAGTGAAGGATTACTATTTATGAAGAACTCGAATGAAAATCGCAAAGCAAAAGATCCTGTATTGATAGTGATATATCTTAAAAAGAGAAAGTTTGGTGATCGCTCTGGGATCAAAATGTGCGCCTTTGATCATGAGGTGAACATGTGGGTTGTAAAGAGAAATTTTGGTGTTCCTAAATATTACAAGAGCATCCACGACTTCAACTCATGGACAAAAGTTGATCTTGCCGAACTCTCGAGGGCCCCATTTCACAATCCTTCATAGGATCCCAGTGCGTCCAACTTCAAACAATTTATGGACAGGCAGGTCAAAGAAAACTTCTCAAAGATGAAAACTGCAAAACCCCTGTATAGAAAAACGCGGATGTTATTGATCCTGAATTTGGTAAGCCAATGAAGATCATACTATGGCCGGCAACAAAACAACTGAAAGAAATTCCTATCCCTCAGCACTTTCATGAAGGATATCTTGACAACATGGAATTTTGGGCATATGATGATGAAACTGCTACTGCTACCATTAAGTGGAAGAATAGTGAAACAGTACTGAGGCTTATTAGTGCAAAATATCTTCTCAGATTTAGAGAAAGATACATTCATACCTTGGCTCGTCACCAAATCATATGCAGAAGAGAAGTCATGGAGGCTGCTGCCAAGGAATTCACTAGAATGGTCGCCACAATCATCAATGGAAAGCCATGGATGGCATCCATGGGAAAATCCGACCTGAAGTTGTACGAAAATCCTGGAAAATGAAGACCAAGTCAATGCTAGCCACAAACCAAGGGGGAGATTGATAGGCTATACTTTTGTGGTTTGGGATAGGCATTCTCATGTATAGGTTGTGGTAGGATGTTAGAGTGTATTGCGGTGGTCATAGCATGTTAGTGAGCGTGTGCAGCCATACATGTGTGTGCGGATGCACACTGGTGTACTGCTTCATGTGGTATAAATAGGTTGTATCAGTGTGTCAGAAAAAGTGACATATGTGTGCGTGTTTTTCAAGGTGTACCTGACATTTATATGTTATAGATGTGTGCATGCTTGACCTTATTCTCCTTTTACTCCTTCTACACTCTATTTGATTGTTTGCAATTCATTGATTACTGATTTAGATCTATAGATCGAGACTTACAAAGATGCACCATGTAACTGATCAAAGAGGTCATCCATACTCGGGAGTGGATAATAATTCTTTACCGTCAACTTGTTCAACTCCCTATAATCAATGCACATCTGGTGCGATCCGTCCTTCTTCCTGACAAAGAGGATTGGTGCTCCTCATGGAGAACTGCTAGGTTGAATGAACTACTTGCCCAGCAGTTATTGCAGCTGCGATGACAGTTCCTACATCTCGGGTGGTGCCAACTGGTACGATGCCTTAGCGATAGGCGTCGCACCCGACACAAGGTCGATCCGGAACTCGAGCTGCCTCTTCAGAGGTATTCGTGGCAAACCCTCTAGGAACACGTCGGAAAACTCCCTAACCATTGGAACCTCTGACATTGAAGTCTGATCCCTGCCGTGCGTATCTACCACATACGTAGATAACCCACACACCCATGTTGAATATACTGCCGAGCCCTGGCGGCTGAACAAAACCATGATCCCACTCTGGTGCCCTCGCCATAAATACTCAGTTCTCCCCCACTTGGGGTTCAAACTACTGCCCACTGACCCTCGCAGTCAATCATGGCACCAAATCGACTGAGCAAGTCCATCCCCACAATCATGCATACATCCTTCATGGGAATCGGAACCAGGTCTATCGGGAAGGACACTTTGAATATATCCAAATCACATCCTCAGTAGACCGAGGAAGCAGAAACCCCATCCATAATCCTCAATGTAGCTGGAGCGCGAGCCTGTGCCAGCTTAGCAGCAAGCAACGAACAGTTAGCCTTCAAGTGGCCAACCTGATCACAGTTATAACATAATCTCATACTCAGAACCGTGGCAGGCTAGTGACAATCCTTCGTATAATTCCCCTCCTTGCCACACCTGTGGCATCCACTACCTACTCGATAAACCCCGGAATGGCCCTTACAGCACCTCCCATAAGTGCGGCTCTGCTGGCTCCCAACCATATAATCAGCAATCTTAGGTTGATTTGGTGCCGGTTGAGACTGTTCAAGGGCCTATCGTTGCTCCCTCATCTGCAGTTCAATCTCCAACTCACGCCGCCTAGCGACCTCCTGTAACTCCAGTAGAGTATCGCATCGTTGTATGGCAACAAACTGGTGAAATGTTAGTCTTGAGCATGCTTAGATAACGAGTCATATGGGCCTGCTCCGAGGCAAAGTTCAAGCAGAACGTCTCCCTCTCAGTGAACATTCGTGCGATCTCCATCACCGACTCTCCATCTTGTCTCAAACTCAAAAACTCCTGAACCAATCGTTCCCGCTCAACCTGAGGAATGTATCGAGCGCGTAACATATCTCTGAATTGCTCCCAAGTAACAGCAGCTCTCTGATCATCAGTATATGACCCAGTCGCCAATCTCCATCAGTCCTTGGCCCCGGACCTTAGCAGGTTCAGAGCACACCTAACCTTCTGGTCAGTAAGACACGAGCAGGTAAAGAAACACCCCTCCACATTTGAGATCCATCTCATAGCCTTGATGGGATCCTGCATCCCATCAAAAGTAAGGGGCTTCGTATTATCGAAGTCCCGGTACTGGAAGCCTCGACTGGCTCCACCTCCTCCTGCCACTAATACAGTCGAGGCAGCTGCAGCGGCAGCCATCTCTACAAGGGTTGCGTAACACTCGTCAAAGTACTCAACCATAACGATCTTAATAGACCCAAACATCTCCTGCAGCTACGCCCGGAATATAGCAGCAACCTCATCATGCATGATCTCTCGGATCCTAGCATCAAACTCCTCTGTACCCATCTGTACCACAGGCTCAGGTGTTGCCGGCCCTTCCTGGCATCCGTCTCCTGATCCTGGATCGGATCTCATCATAAAGCACCTCATCATCACCACTATGAAACATACCAAACGATATCAGATAATCCACATAATCACTGGGAACCAACTCCCGACTATACCCTAGGGATTGTGACTTCCTTGCTATGCGTATGGGTCCTATGCTTTCAGTAGTACGGGCCCATACTATCTTCCACACCTACCCATATTTGTCTCAAGTATCACCACAACACCCTAACCAAATATATATATAATTATAGTGAGCGCTCAATCCTCACTCTTAGAGGAATGCTAAATATCACATAATTGGCCTCCCGGCCCCTCACGACCCACCCATCCATGAAACTTCTACTAACCCTGCAACACTAGTGTATGTTAACCATACATACAGCTAGACCCAATAGAATTTTGAATATCCAATCCTACCCTAAGCTCCCAATCAAACTAGAACGGAGAACAATGCCAAATCAAACATACTCAGACTATAAGATCTTAATTATGTATAACCGTGATGCATACACTAAGTGTCATACCCCCAAACCAAAACGGCGGAATCGTTCGAGGGCGGATGACTTCATGTAGTATCGTAACAGTTGAATACATAGTAAATAAAGTAAAACAACCATCATATATATAATTTACAAGTTATATTGTTGAATGATACTTGTTCAAAACAAATTACAATATGATGACAAAATGAGTTTTAAACTAACGCTTTAGCGTCACTTCTCCAAAAGTTGGGGTTTACCTGTATTACTGAATCCCTGAGAAATACAAGTAGTTTTGAAAGAGTGTCAACAATTAAGTTGGTGAGTTCATAAGCGTTTATGTATAAAATTTTTAAGTTTGGTATAAAATCACTGAGTTTATTTATGAAAAATCCAATATTTTTCCGTAAGCGTGTGGTAGTTTAAAAGTTCCAAAGCTGTAATGCATTAGTAGTTGTTCATGTTTAGAATAACAGATTTAAGTATGTACATTTGATAACCCCGTAAATCATCGTGTTTTTAATACTCCATGTGAGTTTTATTTCCATGCTATTGACCTAGACTGCCTGTAACAACGTTCTTCAGGCGTTGGAATGTTATGACGTTTGTCACCCCAGACCTACCGGTCTAACTGTAGCTAACAGTTTAGGTGCGTGAATGTCAATCCGTATAGATCTATACACAAATATCACGCTCTCCTTACAAGAGATTATGGTATATAATACAGGACTTTAACTGCATACTTGAAAGTACGTGAAGTTGAATGTCTCACAAAACTTAGTATCAAATAGATTTATGTGTGAAAAGTCCATTTTTTTCTTGTATATGAAAGTATTTCCTTAATATAGTACTTATAGTATGTAAAATCTCATGAATATCTAGTAAACTATACCTATTATAGTTTTCCAAAAGTATGTTTCGTTTGTATGGTAAACCCTAGTGTAGTGTCGACTTTGTATGTAAAGTATAACATTATTGAACATTTATACTCAAAATAATAAATAAAGTGTTTGATATTTATATAACATGTTTCATTCTAAAAAGACAAAGTGTTATCATGATATGTTGTATGAGAATGTTTTCGTATGGTAGTTATAAATCACATATGATTGATTATAACAAAAAGTATAGCAAGAGATTGATGTTTTTCATACGAGGATAATCGTGTGTTTACTTGTATCCCCCCCCCCCCAAAAAAAAAAGTGTATAAAATCATTTACAAAGCATTTGAAAACATATTTATAGGGATATGAACTCACTTGATAGAGTGAAGATGGTGAGATGAAAACTGAACAAAACTTTGGCAAGAGAAAGCGGATTTCTTGGGATTTTCGGGAATCTCGGGAGCATAAAACTTCCTTCGGGACTTAGGTATGAAAATCGGGGCTTTGAAATATTTCTTGTACACAAAACAGAGTAAAAACGCAAGAAAAGGAGAGAAAATGAGCAATTATGCCCGGAACCCTCGTATCCCTTTTATAGGGGGGATAAACCGCCTGGGTACACTGGGCGTACGAGGTTACGTGGGGCGTAGAGGGACGTCATTTCTTACGCACTTCATATGGGAGGGCTTCTGTCCGATGGGAGAGCCTATGGCCGATAGGACGAGGCTCCTATCCTCTGGTACGCGGGGCATAATCCTTTACGCGGGGTGTAAATGGATTTTTCCAACTTCTAACTTGCATAACTTTTGAGTACGAGCTCCGTTTTTTGTGTTCTTTATATCCACGCGTAGGTGATAATATACTCTACAACTTTCATTTACACTCTATCGGCTAATTTTGATTTATTTGAATTTTATTATTTTTAATAGGCCGTGACACGAAAGGTCCGTTAAAAATCCATAACTTCTTCATCCGATGTCTGTTTTCGGCAAACTTTTTACCATTGTACTACCATTGTTGAGGTCTTCGATTCTCATTTAGATTGTTTCGGTCAAAAATCCCTCGATCTCTATTGCGAGTTTTTAGCTGTCTACCGCTATACCGAAACTTCGAAAAATCATAACTTCCTCATACGAAGTCAGATTTGGGCGTTCATTTTATGTATGTTCACGGTTTAATAATATCTTCAACTTTTATTTAGATACCTAAGGCTAATAATTATTTTATTGAAATTTCTCATTTTACATTTAACCTTATTGATGGTTTTTGTTGTGAATCTTAGATTGGTCATAACTTCTTCATTATAGCTCGGTTTTCAGTGTTCTTTATACTTCTAAAACCCTTGACACGATATCTATCCTTTATGAAATCCAGTAGATGACTTTTGAACATTTTATTTTTGAAAATAATTTCATTATATTAAAAGGAGTTACAATTCTTGACTTTTTAGGTC